TGTTGTTAGCCTGTTGAACTAAGAGAAAGATACTGTATAATAGATCTGAACGGAGGTGATCTGAGTGAAATGGATGAATATATGTAGGAAAGGGAAAGTATTGGTTTAGTTATGAATCAAAAGGCTAAAGTGTATGTCAGAAGTATGAATTAGTGTCATTTAAGTTGTTCTGAGTGCATAGGCAGGTAGGGATCTAAATGTTGGTGGCAGTTATATGTTATGCTTTAGTGAACAGTGATTATAGAAAAGCTAGAGATGAGTTCAGGAAAAAGTGTACAACATTTTCTGAGCCAGCGGAAAAAAAATATTCTGCTAGGTAGCATGAATGGATGAGTGGGAATAAGAAGAGGTAGTACAGAGAAGATTCAGTCATTCAGAGATCTAAGAATGAATAAGAATAATGATGGGAGAAACATCTGCTTTGAGAAAAGGTCTGTTTGCAGGGAATATGTAATTTAAGAAGAAATCTATTCATTTGAATATATGACAAAACATAAAATCTAAAAGCATTATTAATGTGATTGTTTATGATGAAAAGTTGTGAGAGTTCCTGAGTTATATAAGCAAGATGAGAGGTTTTAAATATAGGAAAGAACATTTTTTGGTGGTACCAAGAGTGGATCCTGGAGAAAGACAGACATGGGGGGAAAAAAAGAAGTGAAAGGAACAAAACTAAAAATATAATGACTGCTGGAGAAGGAAGCATGAGTCTTGTATAAAAGAATACTATTTATTTATTTAAATTTATTATGGCCACCCACTCCAAAAGCTATTAGAAGATAGACTAATCCCCCAACTGTGTGAAAAGTGGACTAAAGAAAGCTTTATTAAGATTAAAAGAGGAAGAGAAAATATATAGCTCTTTTGATGCAATTTAAAAAAAAAAAAGGTTTGAAAATAGGCTAAGCAGGCAGCCACTGGCAGAGTGAAAAAAGAGAAGTGATGAAATGATTTGCAATGAAATTGAAGGGAGGAAATGCTGGAAGGAGTACTTCAGATAGATTTTTCTTGGAATTATAGTAATACGTTCAAGAGCGGAGCTGAAACTAATACCAGAAATGTTAGCGTCCAGGAAAAAATTAATGAAAAGGACATTGTAAATGATGTGAGAGTGTTAAAAATGAGAAAGGCTGCAGGTATAAATGGTGTAACTGGAAAATTATTAAAATATAGATGTGGCTTCCTTATGCAGTAGTTGTGTGACTTGTTTAATATGTGTGTGAAGAGAGCATGTGGATCTGACACTGAATAAGCTTGAATTAAGGGTTGTTTTGCATAGTTATGACTTGAAGTAAGAATAGTACACGATGGGAGCAAAGCATATCTGAGAATAACTGGAGTGCTCAGCAAATGGTTCTACGTTGAGCAGGGGAAAATGTAAGGGTATATGTTTTCCCCTAGGTTGTTTAGCGATGGAGATGTATAGTGAGTGGTGCTGATATAAACTAAGTTTAGCGGTTTCCTTTTCTTGTTCTTTTCTCGTGTATTTATATAGTTGCCTTCCTGTTTCTTCCTCTTTTCTGTCCTCTACATTACACTGTGTAGTCCAAAAGGGAATAGCATGATTGGACGATATGCATGAACATGTCTCAAAAGAAAGGGTAGGCAATTACTTTCAGGGTAAGTGAAGTGTACTTTCAGGGCATTTCATTTCCTTTGGCTTCTGAAGCCGCAACAGTGTTCAGGTGATACGGTGTCATTGGGTGAAGCCAAAAATATTCATCCTTTTTTGTGGGGTGTTCAATATCAAACCAGACATGCTAAAGGAAGAGAGCATTTCTCTCATAGGAAAATGGCAGTGCTAAAAAGCCAGCCATCCTGGCATTTTTACTTGAAAATGGTTTTAGATTTTGTCATTGACCTACATGGATATGAATGGCTGATGAGCTCAACTGCAAGCCTAGCACACACATATGCATCATCCAAAGGTTGGGGGGAATTAGCATCTTGGGTACACCCAGCCCTTTTGTTAATGTATGGATCCAAATATTGTGCCAATCCAGAAAATTAACCAAGGGAAGCCTGTTGTGTGAACACAACCAATGTGTTTTCCAGGGATCGTGTTCCATTACAGAGCCATCTCTACCCGCTATACTTTAAACTTTGAGAAGGCAAAGCAGGCGTGCATCCAGAACGGTGCTGTCATTGCAACTCCTGAGCAGCTCCAGGCAGCCTATGATGATGGCTTTGACCAGTGCGATGCTGGTTGGTTGTCTGACCAAACAGTCAGGTAAGCAATTGCCAAGGGGGTTTGTATACCCTCTTCTCCCACTCTGGGTCATCTTGGTGAACTAGAATACTGTCCCATCTTCCCCAGCCAGTGTGGCCAGTGGAAATTGTCACGCTGGAGAAGCATGGCTGTATGCAAACACAGGGTAAAGACTAATCATGGTGAAAAATTAAGCAGTGCTGTGGATCAGCAATGAGAGAAGGGGTAGGAAGTTACAAGACTGAGCTATTGCCCTCCTTTCCATTTGATGAGAATTCAAGGCTTCACAGCAAGGATGAGGAATCAGGTTTCTCTCTCCACCGAACACTGCTGGACTGGATAATATTGGTGGGAAGACTGCAAGAAAGAAAAGGAATTTTTTTAAAAGCATGGGTGCACTGCCTATAGATCGGCAGATGTCACTGAACTACCTCTCCCAGCTTCCCTCACAAATGGTCCTACTTGCTGTTGAGTTGTAGTTAAGGGACCTCTGAATGGCTATACTTTGTAAAACTAAGCTGCAAGGTGGAGATGGGCAACCTGAGGCCTCACCACTGATTTTTACAGTTCCAGAACCCAGTTGTCATCGTTTCCTGTCAGCTAAAAGTAGGAAACCCACTGAGCTAACAGTAAAAGCCCTAGGACAGGCTGAACCAAATTGAAAAAAAAAAAAAAGACAACTAAAATCTCCCCCTCAAACAAACCAAACAAAAAAATTCTGCCCCACCCACATGGGTGGCACAGTCCTGGGCTCCTTGCCATGCTATGTACCACACCTGCAATGAAAATGCCCCCCCCCCATTCACAAACCCTGTCCTTTGAGGTGTAATCCCAATTCTTTCTGTTTCTCTGGAGAGAAAGAGAAAACAAACAATCACAGCTTGTAAATCCCTGTTTTTTTAAAGAGAGAAACATTCATTATCAGGGCTTGGAATAAGAGTCTCCCTGAGCAAGACATTTCTTACTCCTATGAGCAAAAACTTATGGGATGGGGACTTTGGGGAAGAGAAAGTGAGGCTTGGAAACAGTGAGAAGAAGCCAGTCAACTGAGTGGTGGAAGTCGGTTGTCATCTACAGCCCACAGGCTGGAGGTTCTCCATGCCAGAGCTGTAGTTCAGTCTCAATACTTCTTCTGGTTTTTCTAGAAATTATTTCTATCCCAGAACACACTGTTTCCCTTCTCTGCCCTCTTCCCTTGAAGATAAATTTTCCTCTCCCTTTTACTGAATCAGGTACCCAATGCACCATCCCCGAGAAGGTTGTTATGGTGACAAGGATGAATTTCCTGGAGTGAGAACATATGGTGTTCGTGATACAGATGAGACATACGATGTGTATTGTTATGCAGAGGAAATGGAAGGTAATGGTTTGTTTTTATACTTTTCACACTTAAATTCTGTTCTTCCGCTAGAAGGTCTTAATGGCAGCTTGTGCAGCGTTAAAACCATTGTTCAGTGATTTAAGGGGCAAAATAAATGCCTTGATTTGATGTATTTTTAGATGCTTTTTAGGGTTATGACCTCTCAACCCAACTTGTACAGGGACTATTAAATGGGAGTTCTTGTTCTCTGAAATATTGGGAATGTATACAATACTCAGGAGGGGCACTCTGGGTATTTTAATCATCACAATTACAGGCAACATCAAAAAAGGTTTTCAAGGACTATCAATGTGAGCATTGAAAGGGCCACTTGAAGTATTTTCATAGCTGTTCAGATCAACCAGATTCATCTTCTTCTTCCTCATCCACCCCCCTTATCCATCCCACAGATACCTATTCAAGAGTTCCATAGCATTCTTGAATTCAAAACTAGAGTCATGTCTCATCTACATAATAATGATATTAAAACCTAACTTCTGGATGACTTCTCCAAAGAACCATATGGTTTGTTTTGGGAGGGGAGAGGGGGATAGTGAGTTTTTCGAAGGAACTACCCTCCTTTTTCTGAGTTCTGAAAGGGTTTCAGGAAATGAGCTTCTTCCAAATTTCAAGGAAATGCTCTTTAATACGTGTTTGGGGTCCGTTGGTATCAGGTGGATATTACAAGCAAAGTACTATCCATTCCAGCAAACTGTACCTTCAACACCAACCCTATTCAGAACATTTTCTAGATTTATCAAAACTCTTATTTTCTTACTTTTTTAAATCCTGCACTCAAGAATCTGAAAATAGCAGATATGGTACCCCGCTTCCAATTTAATCCTCTCAGCAACCCATGGAGATAAGTTATGCTGAGAGAAAAATTGGCCAAAATTGTAGGGGGTGGTTGGTGGGCTTTATAGTTTAATATTCTGGATTCATCTTTAGGACTGAATGAAAAGGTTGAACTTGCAGGTAGCAAACTTGGGGAGGAGGGAGCAATTTACAGAATATCCCTGGGGGAGACATAATTCTCTTCCACTATATAGCATCTTAGTAGTTAATCAAACTGTATTATAAGTGAAAGAAGGAACAAGCTGAGGAAGGAAAAACTAAAGGGGAAAAGATAGAGGATGCCTATTATTCTTTTCAGATGGATCCAACAGGGTATAACCTCAGTCCTTTTCCACATTTTTCACTGTGGCCATGACTGATAAAATGGATAAGGACTGTAATTTTTCCATAGTCCAGTCCTTAAGAAATCAAGAGTTCAAATTTCTATTAGTTCATTCTCAGAAATGCTTTTCTGAACCATTTTCAGCTCCAACGTGCTTTCTTTTAGACTCTGCAACCCACCTACATGAGCAAAGATAATGGGTAGAAAAGTCAAATGGAGCCTCTCTGTAAATGGAAGGGGCATCATCTGGCAGCTAATCGGTGGCATAATGATCTGTGCATTTTGATTGCAGGCAAAGTCTTCTACGCCACCTCTGCTGAGAAGTTCACCTTCTCAGAAGCAGCAGAGAAATGCCATAGTCTAGGTGCACGTTTGGCAACAACGGGAGAGTTATATCTGGCCTGGAAGGACGGGATGGACGTCTGCAGTGCTGGCTGGCTGGCAGACCGCAGTGTCCGGTATCCCATCAACAAACCAAGTCCCATCTGTGGTGGCAACCTGGTGGGCGTACGCACAGTGTACCTTTACGTCAACCAGACCGGGTATCCTTACCCTCATTCCCGCTACGATGCCATTTGCTATACTGGTGAGTAGAAACAGAGGCACTGAGCTTCTTCCAGTCTGTGTCAGTTCTGCCAGTTCTTTCTTCTTGCATTTCATGTTACCTTCTGTTCCCTCCTTTTAAAAAAACTACACAGATATGCATTTACAAGGACATCTTTCTCTTCCCCTCAAATATGTATTTTTGCATAAACTTCCTTCTAAAATAACATCTTCATATGTTTTCTCTTGTTCCAACTACAAAACTACATGCCTCACAAAACACAAATGGTATTTAGAGAATAACCATTCTGTTGCTTCGTGTGGGAAGTGCAAATTTTGTCCATTTTATTTTTTTAAAAAAAGTTCAAACAAATGTATCTAACATCACTTTCACTAGAATTACCATTTCAAAGCTCTTGGCATTTGTCTTATTCAAATAAGCATACTGAAAATGCCTGTGCTTCACTCACATTCCCTAGGGTGATCAAGTTCCACTGATTTTTGTAGGATAATTCTAGAATAGAGACTGTGGCTAAACTCCTACATTGCCATACACCATGGTTTGTTTGACTTAAAGGCTGTGGAACAAGACAATTGCTGGGTTTAGATTAGGCTAAGCCATAAGCCATGGTTACAAGCCATGGGTTGGATTTGTACACAGCCGCCAGTCAAAGCTGAATAAATCAGATGATGGACTAGTGTAATGTGTGAACCCAGCCTGTGATCAGAATTAAAGTGCTAATTAACAAGGTAAACCTATGCAAGTTTGTTTAGAAGTAATGTCTGCTATGTTTAGGGATGCTTACTCCCAGGTAGGTCAAATTCTGTATTACAAGGGAGCCAAATTTGAGGCCTTAGGCTTTAAAAGCCCTTAGGACAGGTACAAGAAACCTCTCAATGTTTTCATCATTTCTGATGTGACCAAAGGAAAAAGTGATAAATGTGTGATTAGAGAGTAATCATAGTAACTACATCGCTCTATTATTTTATTTCTTTACATAAAACAAAACATAAATCAGATTGGGGTTTTGTTTTGATCTGTGGTACCCTTTTAAAAATCTGGCAGTGAACTTACTCCCAACAGCTCTGACTGAAATGGTCCATTGTAGCCTTCAGAACTGTGCATCCCATTGACCCATCTTCCCTAATAAGCTGTTTCATTTATCTACACCATTTCTTAACATAAATTCTAGCATTTTTGTTTCCTACCCATAGTCCTAGCAGCTGGATCAGAGAAAGGAATCAGATGTCTGGAGCAATAAGAGCATTGTTACCTGCCTTGTAAACAGACATGGCCCTAAAAAGCTTGAGTTTCCCATTGTGATTGGGTTTACCAGCAGTTATCTTCTTCATGCTTTAGGTGTTGACTCTCGTACTGTCATCCATGAGAATATCACAGATGAATCTGTTGATGAACTGGGCAGTGGCTTCACCATCCAGACATTCACTGACGCAGATATTGAGCTGGAGTTTCCAGACAACACTACTGAGAAAGAAGCTCGAGGAAGCATTGCAACCTTGGAACCTATCGATTTTACTACCTCCACTTTAGAGGTGGATGAAGGTATCACAGCAACTCCAGATCTCTTTGCAACAGGTTTCACTGATGCAACAGAGAACAGGACTGAGATTGGGATCTGGGAGGACCTAGAAAATGGTACTGCCTCAACCTTGGATGCGCTCTTCCCCACGGATATCCCAGAAGCAACATCAGTGGAATATAGTTCATGGAGTACTGCCACAACAGAATCAGAATCACCCTCACCATTTACCAGAGAAGAGCAAATCATGCCAGGGACAGCTGTTCCTGATATTGGTCTAGTCCCCCGGAAACCCATTTCTCCCACAGGTATACAACCAAGGTTATCATGTGTTATTTCAATGAAGATTTTGCCTTCCTATATGTTGAGCATCAAGCTAGCGAATAGACCAAAATAATAGAGAATTAAAAATCAGTAGAAACAACCCAAGTGATTAGTAGCATCCTATTCAAAAGCATGACCAGAGAGAAAGGTTTGGGCTCTTTGCTTGAAGGTTCAAAGCCTGGGAGTGATACCTGTGAGAATGCATTCCACAGTTGGAAGAGAGACAGGAGATGACCCTGCCACATGCATGACAGCGTGAGCATTTCTGAGCCAGGTTTTTAACAAGTGTGGGACCCCCTGTTCTAAACTATGAAAACAACTTAACCAACCTGAGTCACCTCATGAAGCATGTTGTGTGAACAGTGTCTCTGGGCTCTCTTCCCCACCTCCTGAGCATCCTCTACTGTCTCCAGAGTTTCTCTTCCTCTCTGACACCTTTTCTGTCTGTAGCTTTTCAACGTATGTGGATGCACTGCAGAGCCTCCACCAATCCTTTCCTGACCTCTGCTGTGTTTTGGAGGAGGGTATTTTTAAATGAATCTTTTCTGAGTGTTTGTACAACATAGGAACTGTGCCCTCATCCCATGGGTCATGTGAATAGGATACCAAGTATTGTATAGAGCACAGGAATAACTCCCAGCAAAATATCTTACCTTGTTTTTGTTTCTTTAACTATCAACCAGTGCGCCCTATTTCTTTTTCAGCCCACTTCCTTGTGTTGTGTTGGTTTCTCTGCAGGTGTCGTCTTTCATTACCGGCCATCCACCAACAGATATTCCCTGACTTTTGTTGAAGCTCAGCAAGCTTGCCTAGATAATCATGCTGTTATTGCTACTCCAGAGCAACTACAGGCTGCCTATGAAGAGGGGTACGATCAGTGTGATGCTGGCTGGCTGAAGGACCAGACAGTCAGGTAAGGTTCTGGGCCAATGGCTAAGGAAGGAAAGAGCCAAACAGAGGGATTTTCCTGTCTATGGATCAGCATCTTTAATCAGCCTCTGGCGATCTCCATTCAACAGGATTATCACTGACTTCTATGGATCCTGTTACTGGGAGGTCAAGGAAAAAGTTCCCCACATTATCCATAGGGTATTGGTTCCAAGAACAGAGGCCCCAGGAATATATGGGAACCTGCATATAACCTTGGGAGGGCCCCCTTTGCTCCTCGAAAAGTTGCCACTGGACTAACTTTCAGAATGAAAAGAGGGGCTGCATACAATACACTTCACTCGGATGCTAAATTAATCCATTTTTGGTAGGTCCATGTGATGTCTTGGACCTTACACTAAACAGATTAGTTGACCTCACAGAAACAGACAAGCTGTCAAAAATTAATCAGAATTTAAACAATCTAGTGTTGTGCATCAGCAACCAATATGTTAACTGCCCTGGGTAAACATGTTATGGGACCCCAACCAAGGATTAACTGACTATATTTAATTGATCTGACTATAATTCAAATGTAATTAATCAAATTTAGCTTTTGTCCTGACCTTCTTTGTTCTGGCCCAATCTGCTATTTAAATGTAGTCCTTGTATATCATTTAACAACCAAAGCTAACCCTGAGCTTGAAAAGATTTCTCTACCTGGATCAGTCTTCTGTGATCCTAGAAAATGAGAAGGCATCGCCTTCTACCTGACAGGCTATTTTTCTAGGTGCAGAGGTTGATTTTAATGGAAATTCCACCAGGGGTGTTCCCACCTGCAGACTAAAGTAATACAACTGAGATTCAGGTTTATTAATTGAGTGGGATCTTACTCCAAGAGTTCTTCCTAGAAAATGATGTCTGAAACTCGAGGTAGAGACATAAAACTTCTAAAGAGTTGCCCAAGCAAGGCTTTGGAGCACTGGTATCAGTCTGCGTCTATCTCAGAGCTATCCACTCATCCACTCCTTTCTCTCCAGCAAAATATTTACACTGAACTTGTCAACTCACAGCAGAGTTTCAAATTCTTCAGATTGCAATGGCAGAAACTGCCCATGATGTAGTTTGCAAGCCTGAAATGAGATGTGTTGTCCTAGCTTAAAAATAGTCTTGATTACTAAGTATATTCTCTCTCCCTCCCAAATGTGGAGGTCTGCTTTTATTTATTTTATCTATTTTATTAGATTTTTAAGGCTGCTTAATGGCAAGCAACTCTGGGTGGTTTACAATTGATTTAAAAATATATCATAAAAACAGAACAGAAAGCTATAATAATAACAACAGCACCCATTGAGAAATACAAAAGTTAAAATAATAAACATGCATGCAGGTTCACAAATTGATTTTCAAATCATGCAAAGTGCCCAGTTGTTGTCACGTTCTTTTTAATGTTGTTTAACAAACAGGTTGTTAGTATAATGGTCTGCCAGCTGAGCATCTTGGTTCAAATCTGCCCATTGTGACCTCACCAGATGCACGGGCTGGTGCCCCAGGGCCACCTCCAGATCTGAAAGCTTTAGATGGGCTCTCTGGAGGCTTTCCAAAGGTTGTCAACAAACAATAGCTTTTAACATTTTAACCATTAAGTACCTGTGAAGTGATCATAACATTTATTCAGTTAATTAAATATAAATGTATTAAATAGTTTTAGCCTCATCTACTTTGGGAATATAGCTCCAAACACCCCCCCAAAAAAAATCTAAGTGTAATCCTTAGACTGAAAACACATGAACCTAGACCACAACCACACAAAGCAATTGTCAGCTATTAGTGAAAAATTCTAAGACCTTTGATGAGATTCATTCCTGCTGGCCAGGTATCCCATTGTTGTTCCACGCAGTAAATGTTCAGGAGACAAGGAGAACTTCCCTGGAGTACGAACCTATGGTATGCGCCCCGCATCAGAAAAGTTCGATGTCTACTGCTATATTGAAAAACTGAAAGGTACGTTTCCATTTATGGAAGGAAGGGCAATGCTTTATTCGTGTCTGATTTAGTCAGGGAAATCGGGCTGGATAACATTTTAGATTCAATCTCCAAAGGTGTTTCAGGGCTTTCAGGAATGTGAATGTAGTAGCCATCTGCAACCTCTTAAGAGGCTGAAGGTTGAAGTGTTCTGAAGTTGTGAGAGAGAAAGCATTCTGGAGAGCAGGAATCTGACCTGAGCAAAGATGAGTGGAGCAGGTTTTATCACAGAGAGGATATTTATTTACAGAAAGCATTATCCAGAGAGACAAAGCCTAGACCCTAGCTAACTGCAGCCCACCAGGAGGAGATCCAAAAGCATGAGTTTTGTGGTACCCATGCCCTGGAAGAAAGACAGAAGTAAGTGACTTCAGATTGGCAATCACTTGGACGAAGAGCAGGTGGAAGGAGAGGCGAAGAGGAGATACATAATGAATCCTTCTTTCTCTTCTTATAACCTATTGTCGTTGGTAGATCAGGAAGCGCTGAAGAGTCAATGCTGTTGGATTTGGACCTCCAACAAAAGCTATTGCATCTGTTTATGGGATTGTTCAGCTGATCTCCACAGCAGCTGTGCTATCCCAGGAAAGGTGTTACGGATCCATGCTAGATCCATGCTCCAAGGCATTGTGTTGAATTGAATCCCAAGTGCCGCGTGTCCTAATGGAGGCAGGACCTCACCACCTTTCATTCTTTATCTGTAGGTGAGGTCTTCTTTGCTACTCAGACAGCACAATTCACCTTCCTAGAAGCCCAAAGATACTGTGAGAGCCAAAATGCTACCTTGGCTTCCACCGGACAACTCTATGCTGCCTGGAGACTGGGACAGGATAACTGTGAGGCAAGCTGGTTGGCTGATGGAAGCGTCCGATATCCCATTGTTAATCCTCGTCCTGCCTGTGGTGGAGAGAAGCCCGGCGTCAGAACGACTTATTTGTACCCCAATCAGACAGGATTCCCTGACCCTCAATCCAAGCATCAAGCCTTTTGTTTCAGAGGTAAGGAGCTGCTCATCTTTCTGAATGGGGATAGCAATCTTTTCCACCCAGAACTCAATCTTCTTTTCAATTCCTTGATGTCATGGAGGCTTCATGCACCCTTTCTACCCCACTAAAAAGGGGTAGCCTTGCTGCTGGATTTTGATATCAGAATCTGGGGTTTTTTCAAGGTATTATAGGAGCAGTAGCATGCAAGGAAATTTTATTTTTTAATTAATCAATTAATTAATTTCTATAGCCGCCCATCTCAACCAAGTGACTCTAAATTAGATTTAAATTAAATTGACTAGATTTAGTCAAATCTAGTGTTGACCCATTGAAATAAATGGAACTTAAGTTAGTCCAAAGTTTTACAGGGAGGATGTTTAACAGAGCATTCCAAAACCCTGGTTCAGACTAGTATTTAAATCACATCAATGAGTAAGAGAATGTTTCTCCATGTTCAATAAGCTACACTGTGAAATATTAATAAAGGCAAAACATAAAGAAACGAGGAGTTTCTTAAGCAAGATTATGAATGGCATTTTTAATACATACATTAAGATAACATTTCTTGGAATTTTTCGCTCCTTATGTACATAACTTCTTTTTTTGTTGTTGCCGGTGCCTTCAAGTCAATGTCGACTCCTGGCAACTGCCTGGACAAGTCCCTGCAGTTTTCTTGGCAAGATTTCAGAGGTGGTTTGCCCTTGCCTGCTTCTTAGGGCTGAGAGATTATGACTGGCCCAAGGTGACCCAGCTCGCTTCATACCCAGGGCGGGACTGGAACTCATGATCTCCCGATTTCTAGCCTATTTTAGCAAGCACAGGAAATGATGTCTTCATCAAGTCATCAATATGACTATATACTTCGATAAGAATGCAAAATGGCCTTATACTAAGACTAAGCCCACTATTATTGACACTGACTAGCAAAGTTCTCCAGGAGTTCCTTTTTTTTTAGGCTTCCTTGGAGATGCCAGGGATTAAACTCAATACCACATGAATCAGTTGTTCCACCGCTGAACCATCATCTCTTCCCTTTTGAATACACCAGGATAGTGTTGTTATTATTTTTACAGGCTGCATTCATGCAGCATCTGAATTCATTCTGGGGGTTAACACATTGCATTTAACCATAACCTAACCAAGCGGGCTGGAATTACACAATATGCTATGCCACTAACATGTAACTAAGGTTAATATTGTCTAAGCTGTTGTGCAACTATCTCTGGTAGATTTATACCAGATGTGTGAATGTAGCTCTTGTGTTTTTTCATGGTGCAAATGAGTGGATGAGTGATGAAAAATACAAATGATTTGCAGAGGCTGAAAGCCTTAGCTCTCACAGGAAGATTTAATATTACAAATTATTCTATTTAAGGTGGAATTCAAGAGTAATGACAACTCTTAGAACCAATCAATAGAAAATTAAAGGAGCAGGGAAATCATCTAGCCCTATTCAGAATACTGAATAAATACAGAAAGTTGTATCCCGTAGTGTCTAGCTATTAATAAAACAAGCAATAGTGGTCCATAGATTTCTCCTTCATGGAATTGAGGGCCCTCTGGAATAAATTTGAAGGGAAAGAATAGATGATATATGGCACAGTTGGAAATACATTTACATGGTATATCTATGTCATATGAAAGTATGTCCGTGGTATACCTTGGGCTGTACAATGGAACTGGTTGGCACAAGACTTAACAAAAAGGAAGTTGCTTGCTCGTGTGCCGTTGAACTTTGGAACTCATTGTCATTGCCATACAATGTGCTACTCTGACAAGCATTTAAAATAATTAGATAAACTCCAGTAAGTAATAGCTAGTAGAGATTGTAGCCCATAATTTCCAGTGTTGGGAAATGACAATAAGGATATCTCTGGATTGGCCTTTTGTTGAAAGAGTTACCATTCAAAATACAAACCAAATCCATCTGTATATCTACCTTGAACTTTCCTATTTGGGGTATTCCCAACAATGATTTCTGTCTTTCAGCTCTACCATCTTTGTATGAGGATATAGAGGAAGATTTAATTGCAGCCCAGGTGGTCCCTGGAGTAGAAGAAGTCCCTTCTGGGGAAGAAACAACTGTGGAAATGGAGTTTGCCACTGATTCTGAAAATCAAACTGAGTGGGGAACAGAAGTATTTCCAACTAATATATCACTGTTATCGGGTAAGTAAGTTCCATTGGTTCAACTCCAGAATAAACTGTTGTAACTGTTGTAACTGCAACTTTTTTGAGATCCATTTGTATAGGAAACTGTACAAAATATATTTAACAATAAGAATATAGTAAAGCCTCATCTTAATATATATTTACTTACTTACTTACTTAAATGTATTGACTGCCCAACTCTAGTAGGCTCTAAATGAACTCCCATTTAGCAAATTTCAGATTTAATTAATGAAATCTAGATCCAAACCATTCTCCCCTCTCCCGCAAAATGGACAAAGTCCAGATAATCTCAAAAAGTGGTTTTTGTCCATATGTAAAAAATTATTTGCATTACTTGCATATGTCTATAACCTTTGTCTCATTAAATCACTTAATTTATTCACTTGTAACTACATAATGATACAAATGTCACACATTTATGCAACTTCTATGTAATTCCTGGATTTAATGGACATTCAGATTTCATGGATACCCTTTTCCCCCAAATGGTTCATAAAATTGAACTTTTACTATCATAGTTATAATGATAATAGCAGCAACAACATCGGCAGTAATTGTACCTGTATTTGACAGTTCCAGAATCTAATCATGCTGATTTGGACAGTTTTAAAGATGTCCAAATCAAAGCAAGTTTCCTCTAACACACAGCACATCCAAATTAGAATTTCTTTAAAGCACCATTAATGATTCAGAATTTGAAAACACAAAGATAGTGCTGGGATACACAATATCATAATGTGTTTGGTTTGGCCTAGCCAATTACAGATTCTCCAGTAAATCATTATTAAACATACTATGTGTGAATCCAGACAGCAAAAATAGATCCATTTTGCCCTAATGCCTTCAGGACATGATGGAAGACAAAGGAATTCAGGGCAAAAGTCAACCATAGTTTCTAAGACTATGGAATCCAGGAAGATAGAACATTGGCTTGTTTGAAAAATTAAGATATATATCCTTCTGCCAATGTCTATGATTTTTCATCGCTGTTTTCCTATACTTGGAAAACTTGGATTCTCCCAAATCATTTATCTAGGCTAACAAAGGTCAGATAGTTTGAAGTCCATTATATGGCATGAATCAAGCCATCACATTAATCCATAATGTGGTTTATTTATTTGGGCATAGCAGGTTACATAAACTCAGGAATTGTGTTTTGTTAACTTAGATTTATTTAGTATGTGATGTGAACCCACCTCCAGGCACTTTTTGGTTCCAGTTTCATATTTAAACTATTTTTCCCTCGTTATAACTCATTAGTATCTGCAGCTTTCTAAAACTGGTCAGATTCTTTGCCTAAAGACCTCTCTATGCTATACTCATACAAATGGTCAAAAAAAAAAAAGTCCAAAAAACACAGAGGACTGTTAATGAAATTTATACAGCAACATGGCCTTGTTTCAGATTATCAGATCAATAACAAAAAAACCCCAAATGTTGACACAGAGAAAGAAAAGCAATACGTGCATTGAGTAACGGGGTTTAACACTACTGCCAAAAGGTTAAACACTTAGAAATCTATTTGACAAAAATAATAAGGATTTGTTTTAAAATAATTATTTACAGAGCTGGGAGAATATTATAGCAGATATTTCCAGATGGGAAAAATCAACATTTTCCTGGTTAGGAAGAATTGCAGCTATCAAAATGAATATTTTCCCAAGACTTAACTTTCTTTTCCATATGATTCTACTACATATTGAAAAGGTATTAAGCAACTGGCATAAATGAGTAATGGACTATATATGTTCCAATAAAAGATCAAGGATTAAATTCAAGATGTTACAAGATGCAGGTGAGGCAGATTCAAAAGAGTGAGGGCACTGTTCATAGATATCTCAGGGCTGATACAAGCAGAAACCAACTGCAGAAAACATTATGCAGTAATAAGTGATGTATTAACATCTAGGATAAATACAAGAAAAGAATAGGCCCCGGATTGTTCCCCTGTTGTTTTGTTATTAACTGTTTATTTTTACAACAAGCAAAGCACTGAAATTCATTCAGTGGAGAGAGAACAATTTGTTTAGATTGCAATATCTGATTATTAACAAGACAAAGAAAAAAATCTTTTGAGACTCTTCACAATGGTCTGGTTCACTTGACTGCATTTATCTTCAAATAAATAGCATAGTACCAAAATAACTGCAGAAACAAAGGGGAATACATAGAGACTTAACTGAATTTAAACATTTTATCATGTATCACTCAGAACATCTGCCTGGCCTTATTTATAAACTGCTGAAGTATGATTCAGAAACAAGTCAAAGATTATACAGTAGAATTAAAAGGATGCAGGACTTATAGGTGTAGTAACAGATATGCAACAATGATAATTTCAATAGAAGAATATTAAATTTACTCTGAATATTATATTTAGAGAAAATTGATGTTTTATTATTAGTATACTACTCCAGTTTTGATCACCAAAATGGATAAACCGTTTTCTAAAAATTCCTGAAAATGTAATGAGCAGGTCAAATCATTCTTTCATCTCTCGTGGCAATGTTGTATAGCTCAATAATTCTGGAAAATGATTCATATCAGAATGAAATAAATCTTAAAAGTTGAATTCCCATTTCAATATGCAATATTTTTATTATTTTATTAAGTAAAATAAATTTATTTTAAACTTCATTAAACCATGTATTCCCTGAAAGCATATTGAATTAGATATGTCCATACTGACTGCTGCAAGGATATTATATACTTACTGGAAATGTCATTTGTTACCTTCAAAATGGGTATGCTTAGCCTTGATATTTCTATTCTGTAGCATTTCAAAATCAGAACAGATGTTTAAAAATGTGGATAGAATTTATTGTAGCTTATAACCTTACTCAGTCATTTATACTGTTTTGATCATGATTACTGATATTCATGCTTTGCTTCAAGCTTAATAGTGATTCTTAATCTTTTTCAATGATACAATGTATTCAGTTATTCACAATTAACTAATGAAATATTGGAAACTTTAACCTCCGTGACATTTATAAATCTCTTGCTTATTCATTTGTGTTTTATTTCTTTATCCCCTTTTCTTACTTTCTTTTGTTTGTTTGTATGTCTTCTTTAAAGTGATTAATTAAAAAAGCACATAAACCTACAGAGAGGAGGTAAGGAAAGAAACCTTTTCCTCTTTGCAGCTGTAACAACCTTTTTTTTAATTTATTGCAAGTTTCCTAACAGCTTCCATAACAATCGCTCACAAAAAAACAGAAAAATAAATATATCCTTATTTAGAATTCACAAACTAGTAAGGTTCACCATGTACAAAAAACCTGAACCTATAATGTGAAACTTGCTTGGCTTCCTATCCCTAGAAAGGTCACCATTCATCTAATTCCACCAAGAAATAAAAATATGACCAATAATTCCTTTGAAAAACTATTTCAAAGTGGGCAGATTTCTGAGTCACCACACTGATGTCTAAAACAAACTTTAAGGTTTGTATATATCCTTGCTGTGTAGCCCTGTGTTTGTATGGTAATATATATTTCATGTATTGAGGGATAATATTCCTTTAAAAAAAAAAAAAGTCTGAACATAGCCTAAAGTTTATGTTCCTTTTTGCATTGCCTGAGAATTCACCCTCGCACATGTGCTCTTTCTTTCTTTCTTTCTTTCTCTTTCATGCAAGTGAGTCCATCAGCTGTGAGTCAATCAACTGTTCTCCCTACTGATGTAATACCTGACGAAACAAGTGCAGAAGCTCCAATCACAGAGATGTCTGCTTCTGGTTGGACTTCTGGAGCCCCAGATATGATTGAGCCTAGTGGAAAACCCTCAGGATTTGGAGAAAGTGAATCTCCCTCTGGAGTCCCTGAAATGAGTGGGCTGCCTTCTGGAGAGAGTGGGCTACCATCAGGAGACATAAGTGGCCTGTCTTCTGGCATTATTGAAGTTGGCATCTTACCTTCTGGAGATGAAGAATTATCAGGGATTAGTTCAGGAATCCAAGAGCAAATACCTGGGCTCCAGGAAGGCAAAGGGATCCCAGAAATTAGTGGGTTGCCTTCTGGATTTAGTGGAGAACATTCTGGCATGGATTTCAGTGGCTCACCATCTGGAGGGTATGATTATAGTGGTCTCATATCTGGATTTCCTACTGTGTCTCTGGTGAATGCCACTTTGGTGGAAGTTGTGACCACAGCAACAGAAAGGGAAATGGAAGGGAAAGGGACAATTGGAATCAGTGGAGATGGAGATTTATCAGGTTCCCCCTCTGCTGACTGGGATGTTAGTGGCATAACCAGTGGATTGCCCTCAGGAGTTGATGTCTATGGAACCAGTGACATCAGTGGGGTTTCTTCAGGACTCGATATCAGTGGGGAACTACCTAGAATACCTGATATCAGTGAATTACCATCAGGACTTGATGTTAGTGGACAATCATCTGGCCTACTAGATATCAGTGGGTTGTCCTCTGGAATTGACTTCAGTGGGACATCTGTTGGGACACCTGATCTAAGTGGCTATGTGGATTTAAGTGGCCAACCTTCAGGTATTGATGGGAGTGGTGAACCTTCAGGTGTTACCTTCATTGATGCTAATTTGTTTGAAGTGACAACTCCTTCAGCTAAAGAAGAAGAAGGGAAAGGATTTGTAGAAATAAGTGGATTACCTTCGGGAGATGAAGATCTATCAGGCACAACACCAGGAATTTTAGATGGGAGTGGCCAGCCTTCTTCAGGACAAGTAGACTTCAGTGGGTGGGCTTCAGGAGTTAATGAAGTCAGTGGACTTCCAAGTGGACTAACAGACATTAGTGGAGAAAGCTCAGTCAGTGGCTTTTCATCTGGAACATATGATTATAGTGGCCTTGCATCTGGGTTTCCTACAGTTTCCCTTGTGGATGCAACTTTGGTAGAAGTTGTAACACAGCCATCTGTTCCACAAGAAGTAGGAGAAGGGACATCTGGGATATTAGAAATAAGTGGGCTTCCTTCAGGACAGGAGGGGACATCTGGAACACTATATGATGTGACAACAGCTAGTGGAATATCATCTGGGAAAGTTGATTTCAGTGGGACTTCATCGGGCATTCCATATTTTAGTGGAGAAACTGCTAGCACTGACTTAAGTGGAGAGTCTTCAACCACAGCCAGTGCTAGTGGTGATGTCTCTGAAATCCCAGAAATCACCTTAGTAACTCCTGATTCAATAGAAACTGTGACAAGACCAACAGTTTTACAGGAACAGGTTGGAGGAACAGAGGCAATATATTCCCATGTTCATGAATCAAGTGGGGAAGCCTCCACATCTGGTGCAGAAGTTTCTGCATATCCCGAAAGTACCATGTCAATCCCAGTATATCATGAAATCAGTGGTAAGACATCCACATTTCATGAAACTAGTGTAGAAGCCCCTTTGTTTAACGAAACAAGTGACAAAACATCAGTCTTACCAAAAAGCCACCTAGAAACTTCAACCCATTATGAACCAGGTAGAGAAACATCTTCATTATCTGAAAGCTACTCAGAAACATCTGGGGTACCATTCATCAGTGGTAAGACATCCACGTTTCATGAAACTAGTGTAGAAACCCCTTTGTTTAACGAAACAAGTGATGAAACATCATTCTTACCAAAAAGCCACCTAGAAACTTCAACCCATTATGAACCAGGTAGAGAAACATCTTCATTATCTGAAAGCTACTCAGAAACATCTGGGGTACCATTCATCAGTGGTAAGACATCCACGTTTCATGAAACTAGTGTAGAAACCCCTTTGTTTAACGAAACAAGTGATGAAACATCATTCTTACCAAAAAGCCACCTAGAAACTTCAACCCATTATGAACCAGGTAGAGAAACATCTTCATTATCTGAAAGCTACTCAGAAACATCTGGGGTACCATTCATCAGTGGTAAGACATCCACGTTTCATGAAACTAGTGTAGAAACCCCTTTGTTTAACGAAACAAGTGATGAAACATCATTCTTACCAAAAAGCCACCTAGAAACTTCAACCCATTATGAACCAGGTAGAGAAACATCTTCATTATCTGAAAGCTACTCAGAAACATCTGGGGCACCATTCATCAGTAGCTTACCCTCTGGGGCTTTTGATGAAAGGAGTCAGATTAATGGGGATAGTTCAGGTCCAGCCCCTCAGACAGTATCAGATACACCAGAGAAAGTTTTTTTGCCAGATGTCCTACTTGGCACCAGCAGTCCAGATGTTGAATTAACGGAACACTCAAGGCATCTAACTGAGTCTCAGGTTGAAGCAGAGACCAATACACATCCAACACCAGAGCTGGAAACAGGAGATGTTGCTACTCCAGGGATTCCACTACCATCGCCAACAGTTTCTGATCTCCTTCCTAAAGTTTCATCAGAGGTGGCTGATGGAATAAAGCTTCTTACACAAGGTAGGTTCAGAAATATATATATATATGCACTGCAACTTCCAATAGCCAGTCTGATTCTCCTAAATTTTCACATTTGCTGCTCTTTCCCTTATTTCTCCCTTGACATGGTCACTCAGAAGTAGAATCTCAGGAAGGTCTTCATTCCTGTTAATCTAACTGGTTGATTAGCAAAAGATTTTGAACATTCATTGGGACATATTTGGCTCTCTCTCATCCTGTTTAATACTTATTACAAAATTACCTGTATTTTGATTTCTTGTTATTGCCTCATCCCTTCTGCCACCAGCTGGGAAGCAAGAGAAGTTAGAACATTGTAATGTCAGGGATGCTCATAAATTCTATACTTTTTCAAATATGAGGGAGCTAAAAATATAGCTGTATATCTGTCCCTTACACCAGATAATTTTTTAAAAGTTGTTTTTACCTAGCCTAGGAAATAAAATGCTCAGTTTTCTCCTATGTATTGATGAAAAATCCAAAGTTCTTTGAACACTAGTATGGAGGATTCTCAGAAAGGACTTCCATATCAACAAATAAAAGCACATGTTTATAAAATTATATTTGTCTCACCAAAAGCCAGGAACTATTATTTCTGTATGATCTCACTTGCAATAGCTGTGCAAAGCTCATAGGCACTGAAAGCATTTTCTGACCAAAGCTTTGGACCAAATATGATCTTTAATTTACTTTTACAATCCTTGAAATCCAAAGGGCTACAAGAGTGAGTGAGCTAGAGTTCACAGATATGGGCAAACAATGTAGTTTTACTAGGAGAAGGAAGTTTGTTTCTTAACATTAGTGAGATTCCAGTGGTTTTATTTACTCAACACTGGAATCAAACCCTTATTTCGGTTTAAGAAATTCCGTCTGTGCTGTAATAGAAAATCTGCTTGTCTCTAAAAGTAACTTTCAGCTTGGTGATTCTGCAGAATAATTAAAGAAAATATATTTTGGGTTGCAGCTACACCTAAGACATGTGAGGAGAAAGTATGTGGAACTGGGACCTGCCAAGAACAAGAAGGAAATATCACCTGTTTGTGCCCACCTGGATATATGGGCGATTACTGTGAGATAGGTAAGTCTTGATTTCTTCTTAATATGGAGCTGGAGGATAATATATATCATACCAAAACACCCTATTTATTAGGAGTGGGGGACAAATGTCCCAGGTTCTGAGCAAAAAGAGAGAACCAAGAAATAGTAGATACATTTCTGCCTATATAAACACACCCTGCCTATATAAAATCTGTTCGTAGTTCTATTTAACCATGACCAAACCTCCTCTACTGATTCATTCTAGGTTCCTTCTTTTAACTATGATTTCTCTAATAGCAAGTTAATCTCATGTGAGTATCAAAGCTCTGAGTGGTGAACAGTAAGCCAGTCCTTTCTTCATACCACAACAATGTAACTCTTCCCCAACAGAGGCTTATGGCTATTGGTGCTGGGAGAAATAAGGGGTCTTTAGGCAAGATAAGCTTCACACAGAATATTGAGTGCTCAGTGTCCCTTCCTAACCAGGAAAATTTTGATTTTTCCCATCTGGAAATATCTGCTATAATATTTTCCCAGCTCTGTAAATAATTATTTTAAAACAAATCCTTATTATTTTTGTCAAATAGAGTTCTAAGTGTTTAACCTTTTTGCAGTAGTGTTAAACCCCATTACTCAATGCACATATCTTCCTCCATGTTCCCCTTCTTTCTTTCTTTCTTTCTTTCTTTCTTTCTTTCTTTCTTTCTTTCTTTCTTTCTTTCTTTCTTTCTTTCTTTCCCCCTCCCTGTGAGGTTGGACCTATGCTAAAATGGGGTCAGATTATTTGATCTAGGGTACTATGGAAACCCAGCTATTGTCTTAGCAGTGTGTGTGAAGCAATTCATTATGTTAAGCCATAGTAGAACTATCTGAGCATTACATATTATGTGAACACAAGAACTGTACCTTATGTACCTGAGTTTAGCATGTTGGGTGTCCCTGTCTGGTCAGGTGCTAAAACCCTCACCGTGGTTTAGATATGGTGCAAAGCTGTAAGTCAGCATCTCCATTTCTCTCTGATAGTCTCAGAAATGATGGCCATTCCTCCCTGATGGTCCCAGGATCATTTTAGTTGATCCCATCGCTCACAATAAGATCTTCCACCTTCCACCCCTATTACTTTTGTTGCTGCTGCTTTGCTTTGTTACAGTATGGCACTGTAGGAAAAGTGGCTGTTGCTCTGATAACTTCAACTCCTTTTTGTTTGTTTGTTTATGTATAGCCATGGGGAAGAGAGAGGAAGACACATATTAATACGGTTTTAATGGAATTCCAATAATATTATGGCTATTTTATTCCATACATTTCCTATCCATTTAGGGGTTTATGTCAAAGTTGGGACTAACCCTATAGAAGAACATTCACATTAGCAAAGTTCAGTGCCTTACTCTCAATCTAACAAAGGGGAGTATAACCACATCCCTTAAGCAGAACATTTCTGCTTCTCTTCCAACTCTGCATTCATTGTCCTCTCTGTTGTGCTTGGTGTACAGAGCTCATAACTTCAACTCCTTACCCATTATGCTGCCTGTTTTTAATTCAAGCTATCTACTTTTCCCTTGCTGATTTCTCTGCTGAAATTTCCAGTAATGTAACAAAGGTTCACTCAGTTGCAATTGCTACTGGGTGGTTGAAAAACATCTGTAATCGAACACATGGTAGATTATTGTCCATGACCTTTAATGAAGAACCTTCATCCTGCAGTGGATAGATTCAAGGTGCTGCTGCTGATTTCTGTATTTCATTATATTTTATTTTATTCTACTGTACTCTCCTTCTGTAACCTACTTCTTGTGGAGTTTGAGGGGGGGGGATGTGGATATAAATTAATAAAGTAAGTCCACTGTTTTCTCCCTCTTATCTCAAAGCTTATTTTTAACCACTGTGATGAATCATGGTAAAAAAAACAGAGAAGGGATTACTAGAAAAATACAGAGATGGACAACAATAATTTAAGTAAATAGGTGTGGTTGCAATCAGCTCAAACACCACTCATGAGAGATCAGCTATCCAAATGCATGTTTGAATTCCAGCTATTGATCTGATCTCTACTCCATTATATCTAGAACTCTCACAATGAAGAGCTCTGTCAAAAAGGGTAAATAATAGCAGACATACATGTTCAGAATGCTGAATCTGCCTTTCTTACTGAACAATTGTAAAGCTCTTGACAATATTAGGAATTTGAAAATGAGGTCACAGGCTGGAGGGCAGGGTTAACTTTCATCCCAGCTGCTATACTTTCAATCTTCCTCCTCACTCCTCCACACTCACATTGTTATACCATAAGAGGAAAGCAGAATATTAAATTTTAGGAGAGAATTGGGGAGAAGAAGGCAGAAACAGAAACATGGGGACAAGAATGTGCTGAATTAGTACAAGGAGTAGGGGTTGATCCAGGGGTAGCAGGAAATCAACAAAATAATTTAAGGATGGGCTTCATAACAGATTGGTAGGAAGAATAAAATTTCAAGTCTAACCTTGAGATCTGGCAAATCTAGGATGTGATTGGAAGAGTAGGTGGGGAGGTATTTACAACTTACAAGTCTTGTCTTGCAATTTATTGTTTCATTTTCATGGTCAGGCTTCGCAAAAGGCATGGACCAATTTATGGAAGTAATGGGGATCAATGGCAGATCTATTAGCCTTGGTGGCAGTATGACTGCCTCTGAAGGCCATCTGCTGGGAGACTCGTGGGCTTCCTTGCGCAGTTGGTTGGCTCCTGTGAGAACAGACTGCTAGTACTAGATGGGTCAGAGATCCAATCCAGCTGGGCACTGCTTATGTTCTAAAAAAGGAAACTACAGGTAATAACATTCTTGGTCTGTTGGCTGGTAAGATACTTTGTTGAATGCCACTCTGATAGATCACTTGTCAGAAATCAATTTCATACATTCAATTTCTGGTTTTGTTGAGTTGAAGAAAGCACATGAGCCATGGCTAGGAAGATGTATGATAGATGCTGTGCTTTGGAAAGTTTTTTCCCCTCCATACTTTACAATTTCACAGATAAAAAAGGGAGAGATGTATTTCTAATATAATTGTATTAACCATTTTTTAAAAGGAAGATAAAAACCAATAAAAACCAATATAAAGTAAGAAAAAGAAAAGAAAAAGGAAGAAATCAAAGAGGAAGCTAAAAGTGCAAGAAAGGAAAAAGAAAAAAGAAAAAGAAAAATAGAAAAGAAAGAAAAAAGATACAAAGAAATAGCTTCCAATCTTCTTTACA